CAAGGGGACAGTTTTTAGCTAGGCATTTTGCAGTGGTCAAGAAATCCTTCTGATAGTTAGTGTCTAGTAGTTCTTGTGTGCTCGCCGGAGTTCGGGTTCTAGGCCGCCTTAGGTGTGTCCTCTAAGTTTTAGCTTCAGTTTAGTTGTGTTCTTGTATTCGAACTTTGTTCCCTTTGAGTTGTGATATAATATCTCTATCGTTTCGACCAAAAAAAATAAAAAATAAACATTTCAGTATGGAAAGAAAAGAAATACAAAGTATGAAAAGTTATATATTATTGAACAGTGCCATATACACAAAATTTTTGTTTTGATTTTGTGGCAAACCTTCTTCTCCAAAAATTAAAATTTTCAAACATTTGAGTTAGTAACACAGGAGACACCGGCATATAGCTGGTCATGACAAAAAACGGTTTTTTTCAGGAATAAGACAACATGAGACAACATTGACCCTGACTCTTGTTTATGGTCAATCTGTTTAACCGTGTGATTGGATAAAAATAATATGAATTTTCTATTTTTAAACTCAAATAAAAGTTGGGTTATTTAAAAAAAAAATCTATATATATAAATAATTGTAGGCTATCCAATAAATGAGATAGCTTACTTTTCCCGTCTCAACAAAAATTGGGCTAAATTAAGAAGGTTTCTTTTAGTTAATCCAATATTTATGTTTCTTATTCTCATTTATATTTATAAACGTGGCAGACATTATTGTTGCGCAGAAATTATGTATTATTATTTTTTATTTTATTATGACTTGAAATTAAAGTTATAAAAAATATTAATAAATGTATTAAATACAAACATTATAATACATATCATGTAACATTATAATATAAAAAATGAACTTTTTTTTTTATAATTGAATTTCTAGCCATACTCCATCAAACATATATATTTGTAAAATAATGAAAGATTAGTTTCATAATTAAAATTAAAAATTTAGCTCCCCAAATGGTAGAACCTTATAATTAATAATATAGATATGTTTAAATGACATATAATTTATAAACTTAGGCTATACACATAATAAGATGAATTAAAAAACATTATTATTATAGCAAAGTCTATATTGTCAATATTATCATTTAAAAAATTCATTGAAAAAAACATTGTATGAAAAAATCCATATGATCATAAGTTATAGTACAAAATTAACTATCTTTGACTTTCCATTTGGTAGTAATGATAAAATATTTTATATTATTACTATTCAATAAAATGCATGATTTCTGCAGATTTCATTATCGCAATCAACATTCTGTTTTATAAATTAAAAAGTGTGCTGAATAAATTGTCTCATATTTTTTATTATAAGAAAAACTGTTGACCGTGAAAAAAAAATTATTTCACAATTATAAATATAAATATGACTAATTTTCATTAAACAATTTCTCTTTAAGAAAAAAGTGGCGGGACAAGTTTCTGCATGATTATAGCATCAAAATATATCCAAAACATCAATATTTCAATGCATTAGAAAAATACTTTCAGCAACAGAAAAGTCATATTAAACTGAAATTGACAAAGTCAAAGAATGAGGATGGACAAGGCATTTTATGTAACGGCAGATTGTTGCATAATATAGAAATATCAAGCATAATCAACAATCAGCAAAAAAAGTCAAATCTATATGAAAAATCAAAATTAAAAACACAGCAAATGATGTGGAATATTATTGGACACTATACAATACAGAAAGGAATAATCTTATTTCCCTATCATTATCAACACATTCAATTTTTACCAAGACATCTGCCTTTATATTAAAATCGATTTTTTGCCTAAAAGTTTTAAAAATAAAAATTCTTATAAATTCTTTTAAAAATTAAATAAGAAATTCCTAATAAGCGATAAATAGATCTAAACAGATTTTGTTATAAACTTACCTAATATTTCCAAATTTGAACAAAATACTAAAAGCTTTGAAAAACTTCTACAAAAGACTTTGAACAACTTCGAAAAGCAATTTTGAAAAAGTGTTAGCGAAGCTTCATTTACTGATATGATGAGAAACACGAGAAAGAGCTGAACAGTTTAGTATTCAAAATCTGAACAAAATACATAAAACTTATATATGTATGTTATACACATATATGAACAGATATGTTATAAACTTACCTATATACTTGTTAGTAGAGCTGAACAAATCTGTTAAAAACTTACCTATTTTTTCAAACCCTGAACAAAATACATAAAAGTTTGAGAAAGTTCGACCAATGTCACGTTCTCTTCGAAAAACGATTTCGAAAACATCTAAATAATTTCGAATTATGTATAAAATATGATATATCTTAGAACCTTATTTACAAAAAATTCGAAAAACCACACAGATCATTGAAAAAAAAAAACTCAGTTTAACAAAAAATATTTCAGATCTTCATAGATTTGTAATATTATCGCCCGATTTTGACCGTCCTGTTAAGATATAGCAACATAGATTCAGAAATCGGGACGAATATTTATTTTTCAATCACTACTGTTGGCCACAAAAACAACATTTCTCAGATTTTTTTTTTAAAATAAATTTTTAAGCCTTTATCAGGAGAAAATCTCCGGTAAAACATTTGTTTTGTATTGAATCTCGCCGAGTTTGTCGTAAGATCGGGTTAAGGATTAGGGTTTCGGACAAAGTGAATAACGAGAGATGCGCCGACATCAAACAAAAAAAAAAATGGCTTACATCACTCTCAGGGAGTTTATCTCTATTTATAGTTCTGTTATCATTGACATTTTTTATGTTTGATTTTGGCTACCCTAAAAAATTAAGTGAACTTCTAGTTTGGGTTTTTTTATCATTCAATCAATATATTTATTTATGGCCCAAAAATTGTCATTTTGTTCAAACGTCTAAAATATTTGGCACATACCATTATTTATCAACCAAATACAATTATTTATTTTGTAATATTTTGCTGGTATTTTTTTATTATGTTCTTAAAAATTTCCTATATGATCTATAGTACAAAATACAATAATTGTTTAAAAAAATAAAACCGTTATATGTCTCTGAAGATAGTGATTTATAGTGATGAAGATTTTGTTGATAGAAAAACCACAAACGTTGTATATAAAGAATTGTTTAATAATATTTAGTTATTCTTTCTTAGAAAATTTTTCCAATGATCATGTTATGATTTTTACTATTGTTTATATCTTTTTGTTATCTTTTGTTCTATCATATTGCTTTCCATGCAAATGCACGGGTTAAAAACTAGTTAAAATAAAATTTTTAATAAATTGATATAATTTCAGCTTGTTGAAAACAATACATAAAATTAACTTGTGTAAAAAAAACATAAAGTATGCATGTTTAAATATTAAAAATACCTTAAATATTATATAACGTATGTAAAAGTACCTAATATATTCTATATTATTCATGAAAATGCATGAAGTCAATTAAAGTTTTGCCAACCTATTTTGGAAGAAAAATATGTATATGTGTAGTAAATTTGTCCAGACAACATATTCTAATATATCTAATATATTATATGCATAAATAATAAGTATTACAGCCTAAAAATATTAGTTATTAGACAATATTTGTAATTAGGGTATCTATTTTATGATAAAAGATATTACCTTGAAATATTGCGTTTGATTTTTTTTTTTTAAAATAAATTAATCGATTTATGATTGTTAATGTACAAAAAATAATGAAAATAATTCAAAATTTCAAAAACGTGTTGTAGTAAGAAAAATTTCGCAAACCAATTTTGCCGCATGATTTCTAGAAAAGTTAACAAAATTGCACACGATTGTGTAGTCTGGATTTTTATAAAATTTGCAGTAAAAAATTTAAGAAATCCACATGAATTTGGATTCTTTTCAAACCGTAAGATGGACAATAAATTGACCGTGTTATTTAAATGGTCCATCTAAAAATACTATCGCCACTATATATAATTTCCGAATGCGGTGAGCCTAAGTGACAGACTCGTGTGCTTCGTAAGCTTTTTTTTTTTTTTTTTTTTTTTTTTATTAATTATTATAAATATGTATTCTTTTTATTTTTAAGACTTTATAAATTTTTATTTGTATTTTATATTTTATATATGATCTACCAAAATAACTATATTTTAACGATATTGGAATTGATATCTATATTGTATAATAAAATAAAAACTAATTCAATCTATATTTATAAATAAAATCAATTTTATTATCAAATAAATTTAAAAAAATATATTATAACAATATAAATTATTTTACAAAAATAATCATTTTATTGATTTTTTTTTCCCATAAATTCTTGATAAAATTACATAAAATAAATTTTAAGAAACATTATACGATAGTATTTCTCAATTTAAATAGATTATATAAATAATTAAATGTTATTATGTCATTTATATTTTTTTCTCTTAGTTCAAATTTCGTTCTTAATTTGGGCAAATAACAATCTTACCATCTTATAATTTTCTCTCATAAATTACGATTTACAAATCATTTTCTGCACTTTCTATTCTTTTTTTTTTTTCATTAATTAGTCCATCCAAAAATTTTTAAATAAAATTTTTATTTTAACAATAACTTTTATAATTTAACTCAATAGTACATGGGTATCCCTTCCTATATATTAATTGAGAACGTGCTGAGCCTATGTGGCAGGCTCGCATGCTTCGGGATCCTATGTGGCAAAAATACATGCTTCGTTATTAGGCTTGGGTAGATTTAGTTTACTTCTAATCCAAATATATTTAGGTTCGGATTATCTATAATATGTTGATTATTTATGGTAAGAGTGGACACCGATCGGGACGGTCTTGGATTTGACTTGTCCGGATACTCATCTCACTTTTATGAATCCGTCCATGAACGAGGCACCGTGCCTACCCATGGATGTTGTACTAGTTATATTGTATATATTTGAAATCAACTGTAGGATGCCAATCCACGTGGCACGCAACTGTGGGGTGACAAGTGATAAGGCACGAGATCATCTATTTATGGTCACAAAATGGGAAGCGCACGGCATGCCCAATCGGACGCCCCAGGACCCCAACTCGGATTAATATCAAATCCTCCCCGTTGGATGGACTCAGTAAGAAGAGCGGTGGAGTGTGATTATAAAAGGATAAGGAAGTTGCTGTTGAGTCTCCCACATCGAGTAGAGTGCGTCGACCTGCGAGTCAATAATTGAGCAATTATTTTTACAAGTTTTTTTAAGAAAGGAGAAAAATGGCTACCTCAATGGTCTCAACCACCGCCCCCACCGTCGGCCGCCGCTCGGCTTCGGCTCAGCCCGCCGTCTTGTCTCCCTTCCTCGGCTTCAGATCTACCGGCGCTTTTCCCGGCGCCCCCAAGACTTTCGACATCACCAGCATCACTAGCAACGGAGGCAGAGTCAAGTGCATGAAGGTAATTAATAATTTTTGTCTCATAAATTAATTTAATTAATGATACGGTAGTTGTTTTGTAACGTAATATAGTACAGATAAATGATCTAAAATGTAATGAAGATTGTTTGTCTGTGTGTTTATGAACTCAGGTGTGGCCGACGGTTGACTTGAAGAAGTTCGAGACATTGTCTTACCTTCCTCCCCTCACCACGGAGCAACTCATCAAGCAAATTGAGTACCTTCTCAAAGAAAAGCTCATTCCTTGCCTTGAATTCGAGCTGCAGGTACCTTCCTATAACATCATTACTAGTAGTTTATTTATATCAAAAGTGGCTGGCATTACATATATATATATAGTTGCACTCAATTACGTTTTGGATTGTGCAGGATGCTTGCATACAAATTTATCGAAAAAAATTAACCTTAATTCAATCTCACTATCATCAATATAATTAAATAACATCAATCAATCATTATGACACATTACATCAACTTTAATTTATTATTCATCCACTCACATAATTTTAACTAACCATCATTTCACATCATCTCTAACCTACTTTTATATCAAATCAACTTTAATTATTTTATCTTAAATATTATTATACTATAAACTCAAAATTCCAGTAACAACTAACCATACCACATTTTTCAAAATTAATCATACCAAATCAAAATCCAATCAAAACCAAAAAAATTTATATCCAAGCATCTCAGTAATTTGATGAATAAAGAATTATTGATTATACATGTGTGCAAATGTATATGTGTAGCACGGATTCCCGTACCGTGAGAACAACAGGTCTCCGGGGTACTATGATGGGAGGTACTGGACAATGTGGAAGCTGCCCATGTTCGGCTGCACAGATGCAATTCAGGTTGTGAACGAGCTGAATGAGGCAGTCAGGGCTCACCCAGACGGCTTCATAAGGATCATTGGCTTCAACAATGTGCGCCAAGTCCAAGTCATCAGTTTCATTGCCTACAAGCCCCCGGGATACTAGGAAGCTTTAACTTCCGATCTCTTATATATGTCCTTGATATATCTCAATATTCGTCGATTTTAATGCTTTTGTTCTGTTTCTGTTGATTTTTCGCAATTTGTTTTTCATATTATTTCGTCGAAATGAATTGGAGCTTATGAGGATAAGTACAATAAACACCTCTTTTTTCGTCGTTAACTAGTAAAGTGTACGTTCGAACATGCATGATTCTTTTTTTTATTTTTTATTTTATATTATTTTTGTATATTTGTATGTATATGGTTTAATATTTTTATTATTTCGTATTATTACTTTAAATAATCAAATACATACATAATGAATTGTCTCAAATGTATTGAACATAATTTTCGAACAATGATGATAATATTTGAAAGCCGTGATAAAAAAAATTGTATACGAAAAAATTACTGTATAAACCTTCATTTGTTATAAATTGGAAATATTTTTATTCTACGCAAGGATGTAAAATATGCCAAGTAAATGATAATTTTTATCTGCAAGTGCTAAAAATGTACATGGTTTATTAAAATTTGAGCATTAAATTCCTAAAAATGCAAAAATTAGGGTAAAATCACCCAATAACTATTTTTTAAAAATAACTATGAACTCGTGTATTTAGGCAAAATATTCTTGATTTGGTTAGTTTAATAGATTTTTTGTACAATTGTAAATGTTATTTGGAAAAATTGTCATCTATTCTTAATTATTGTATATCTTTTGCAATTTTAACCTTTAATATTGAGGAATACATGAACATATATGTTTTCTAATGATGTCAATAGGGTCTTTATTATTATCTAAAATAGTTTTTGATAGTTTTATCATTTTTTTAATAGTGTTTTTCACTCTTCATTTTGATCTCATCTCTAATGACAATTGAATGTTAATCAGTCTTGTTTGATGCAATTATTTTTCCTTCATCTACATATTAAAATGGATCAATGGTCACACTAATGATGTCCTTCTTTGTCATTGTTTTTTTTTTCTTTTTGAGACATATAAAAATCACAATCAATTGATATTTTCAAATCAATTTTTTTTTTTTTAAATTTCAATAATTTTAGTAACTAATTTTAAAAGCATATTATTTGAAATTTTACATATATAAGGGTTGACAATACTTCAATTAAATTTTCACATTATATATATTCAATGATTATTTTGGGATCCATATCACATTTAATGTTGAAAATATCGTGAGCGAATAATTTATGTACATTGTTAACTAACTATATGGATAGTGAACCACACAAGATGAATAATGTTAAGTTTATAGATGAAAGGCATAAAAATCAATTTCAATGCACGGTGTAGTTGAATCATAATATTATACACTTGGCCAAATCTAATTATACACACACATATACATGTATATGTGAAGTAGGATCAAATGATAATGAAAAATAGTAAAAGAAATAAAAATAAATCATAGTCGTTGGATGTGATATATCAACCCTTACGGGTAAACATTCTAGATTTAGTCAAAGGATCAGTTGCATTCCTACAATTTGAGTACTTTTGATTATTACACAGTTACATTTTCTTCATTTCACGAAATACGTTGGTATAATCATAATATGCATTTTCATATACATTATGTGAATTTCGCTTAATATTATTGTGTATAATGTAGTGGATTGAGTTTTTGGTAATTTTATGAACTTTTAAATATCCAAACTTGTCATTTTCGTAATTTCGTGAAATATGATGGCATATTTACTTACTATTATTGTGAATGTTTAATCATTTCAAAATTAATAAATAAAGTATGTTACAAGAAGGATCTGTATTGTGCGAAATTAAAAAAGAATGTATTGTGCATTGCGGTGAATTAAAATGTGAATTTACGCTCGGTATAGATCTTGTTTCTCCAACCCCCAACATCCCCACCTCCCTTCATCCATCTCAACCGCTGCACTGCTCATCTCCATCTCATAAAAGGGTTCCCATCATCCCCATTGACCGCGCGTCGCGACGCGGCAAATTTAAATTTATATATTTTCCTCAACTAACCTCTACTAACTAGTAGTAGTGGCGAGTAAGGGTCGATCCCACGAGGAGTAGGAATTAAATCGTGATAATCTCGTATTAATTGAATTAAACTAGGAAAACAATAAAGGTGGGGGGATTGGTTTTATAAAAATAAAAATAAAAATACGAAAATAAAATAAAAATCTAATAAAATAAGAGAAGACCAGTTTTCGGTTCAGTTATCACCCAATCTAAATTTACCGTTAATTAATTTCGACGCTTTCTTTAAATTGCTAATGAATTACCGACCCTAGCTAACAACAAGCTCTGTTAACCGAATTTTCCCTCACCGAATATTTAATCGAAATAAGCTCTTCGACTAAACCTAACTAGTGGACAACCTAGAATAAGCTCTCTAGATTTAATTCACTAGCAGCATTAATCTCTAGGAAAATAGATCAGTCTAAGCAACGGACGCAAAAGCTCGGACCATTTAACTTATGTTCACGCTACCCTAGAGATGCACGACCCCTAGTTTACTACTAACAAAACGAGAACAGTAACAATTACGGATTAAAGCCTCGAATCTAGCAGTTAAATTAAGAATATTCAATCTAGCTGGCCAAACTAAATCAAACACCATAATTCATAAACATTAAACATAGATAACATGAATCAACTCATCAACAAAAATAAATACGGCATCTCGATTAATCAACGATAAAAATAGATCCTTCAATCCATAGACAAATCAAAGTTAGGGTTCAAACATCCCCTCAAACTGGATAAAAATACTAGTCTAACATACTAATAAAAATAAATAAAAAGATAAAAGAGAGAAGATAAAAATATCTCCCTCGTGTGCGGTGCGGCTTCCCTCCGCGATGCCTCTTTCTCTGTCTGTGCGGTCTTCTTCGTGCGCGTCTGTCTTTTTTTCTTTTCTGTTCCCGGCTCTCTCCTTCGGCTTATTTTTCTTCTTATCTGTTCTCTCACGTTTTCTTTTTCTTTTTAACTCTCCCACAAATAAATTCCAAGTTTTTTTTGAATAGCCTAAGTCTCCTCAATGTACACAACTCTCAGCAAATAAATCCCCATCAAACTCATCTCCTCCAATTAAATAAATGAGGGCTGCGTGTGTATTGCTGATTATCTTCTAATGAATCTCTTGGGCCATGCAAATTGGGCCTAAGTTTCATGTTCAGCGGCGGGTCAAATTAAAGGGATCGGACGTCTCGATAATTGCTTACGTGAATTTCCGTCCAACGCTTTGCGTCCATAAATACTCCAATAAGCTGAAAATAACACAAAAACCTCAAATCAAATAAATCTATCTAAATAATAAATAAGTCAAAAAAAATACAAACGTGCGAATAAAATAAACGTATAAAAATACGCTATTAAATATATAAACCATGCACATTTTTCGACCTATCAAATCTCCCCAAACTTAAACCGTTGCTTGTCCCCAAGCAACTTAGAACTATATGCACATAGATGGATGTAAACAAGTACGTGGAATATTGCTCAGGTCTTCACACATCTCACATAATGCATAGCTACAACTTCCCAAATTAATAACCCCGGACTCGAAATGAAATCATCTTTAGAACGCCAACAATCAAATATCAATTCTGTGAATTACCGCAGCTCATCAATCTTTTCACCGAGTATACCAATCATGCAACTAACGACATCCCTTTCTTTGTCAACCGGTTTAGTTCCTCTTTGCTTCTAGCCAGAAATCAAAAGTCTCGATTTTTTTTTTTTTTTTTTTTTTTTTTGGGAACGGCAGCTCCGTCACAGTCTATGGTATTTAGCTATTCGTGCGAGAGTTATGCACTAAAGCTTCACAGACTGGCAGCTGTTGCAGCCCACGATCATTTTTCTTTTTTTTTTTTTTTTTTTTTCAACACCCATTATTCTTTTCCTCCACATTCATTATTCACACCACCATTTTTTTTTTTTCTTTTTTTTTTCGAGACAATCAACTCCCAACTTTCCACGTCAAGTCACCTCATATAATCGACATCAAGCAGAATAATCACTAGCACATTTCAAAAATATAAACAGTTGAAGACCAACTCACTACAAATAAATCACATAAATATCAATCGTCATGTTTTTGTCCCTCAAATAACAACACTTCAAGAATTTAACCAGAAATCATTAATCCAAGTCATCATAACTAGCATGATAATTCCAAAAGACACTCAATTCATCATCGCAAAATTCCACATACAAGTAACATATACTCCAGCAAATCAAGATAATATATAAAATAGAGCACAACTCAACAACTCACACAAATATATCTCACTCTAATAAATCTCCCCAAACTTAGAGTTTGCACATAAGAGAACAAAATACAAAGTAAAAGGAAAGAGTTCACCTTATCAAGAGAAGAAGTCACGTCGCACACCATTGGGTTGCCTCCCAACAAGCGCCTTTTTTATTGTCGTTGGCTCGACTTATTACTCCGCTTTCTTCAAGCGGTCCATGGCGGCTTCATAGGTGGCCTCAAACGAGGCACGAACCTTGCAGCTCCATGCTTGTGAAGTATCCCCTCGTCTCGTGTCGGGTGCTTCACCGGATCTTTTCGTCCAGGTGGCAAATGATCATGGTAAAAGATTAGCCCGGGCTCATAGATAAGAGGAAAAATCTCTACTACCTCCAGGATGTAAGGCTTTTGATTTTCAGCGTGCTCGATTGCTGGTTGTTTGACCTCGAATAGAAGAGACTGATTTTCAGTCATGCTCGGGGCAACTGTCGGAGCTTTTACGTCATTGTCACCTTCGAGTGGGCTGTTATCGGGGGCCCCGATAGCAGTAGTAAATGCTACCAGGTTTTTATGGGGGGGGGCGGTAACAGCGAAAATTTGCTTCTCATCGCCTTCTTTCTCTTCGTCGCTTCGATCGTTTATCGGCTCAAAGCTAACTTCGTCCAGCACCTCAAGCTCCGTGTTGCTGCTCATCCTAAGCTCTCCGTCATCATCGTGGCTGGCTTCGGCTAGCCGACTCTTGGCTCGGGCATCCAATTCGCTCAATAGATCACCAATCGTTTTGCTACTAGCCATCAAAGAATTTTGACACTCTTCAAGTAACTTCATCAACGATGGACTAGTCGCTTGTTCAAGCGAAGGTTCTGAAAAATATTGTGAGCCTCCATAGTGGAATTGGGATTCGTCATGCTCATAAGTAGGCTCATACGGTCGAGAATATCGTGGATTTTCATAGAA